TCTGCCTCTTGAAATCCTATTCATTTTTTAAGGTCCCACTCAAATGATTATTCTTCTACAAAACCTTCCAATGATTGTGTTAAATAGGAAGGAGGGATTAATTCAAGAGACTATAGATAGGCTCACATTCAGTTTATAGATTCAATAATAGAGCCAGACATTTATTTTTCAAATTGAAAAAATAAAACTGGATCTCCATGTTATAACATGCACAAAAATCAATTGAGGATGAATTAAAGGCCTAAATGTGAAAAGTGAATCTTTAGAACTTTTAGGAGAAAGTATATGAGAGTATCTTTATGACCCCAAGGGGAAGAATCTCCTAAATAAAAAAAAGGAAGTGAAACATAAAATAATTAATAAATCCAACTTCATTTAAAAAAACTGCTTATCAAAAGACATTTAAAAAGTGAAAACAAGTTGTAGATTTGAAGATTTATTTGTGATATATATAATCAAGAAGGATTTATATCCAGTTTACACAGAGGACTCATATAAATCAGTAAGGAATAGACAAACCAACAGAAAAATGGGCAATAGATATGGACAGGCAATTCACAGGTGAGTAAACATGGTCAATAAATATGAAAAAACGTTCAACCTTACTAATAATCATGGGTCACCATATAAATCAAGCCACCATGAGAAATTCTCACATCTATTACATTTTTTTTAAAATAATCTCATAATACCAAGTATTGGCAAAGATGTGTATCAACAGAATCTTTTTTTTAAATTGTGGCACTTCTAGTTTATTTTTTAATTTAAATTTTGTTAATTAACATCTAGTGTAATATTGGTTTCAGGAGTAGAATTCAGTGGTCCATCACTTAGATACAACACCCAGGGCTCATCACCATCTAGCCCACCCCTCACCCACCTCCCTCCATCAACCCTCGGTTTGTTCTCTATTGTTAAGAGTCTCTTTCGGCTTGTTTCCCTCTCTCCTTTTTTTCTTTTCCCCCCTTCCCGTATGTTCATCTGTTTTCTTTCTTAAATTCCACATATGAGTGAGATCATATGGTATTTGTCTTTCTCTGACTGACTTAATTCACTTAGCAATAATATACTGTAGCTTCGTCCACTTCTTTGCAAATGGAAAGATATCATTTTTTTAAAAGATTTTATTTATTTATTTGACAGAGAGAGAGACAGCAAGAGAGGGAACACAAGCAGTGGGAGTGGAAGAGGGAGAAACAGGCCTCCCACTGAGCAGGGAGCCCGATCCCAGGACCCTGGGATCATGACCTGAGCTGAAGGCAACGCTTAACGACTGAGCCACCCAGGCGCCCCTCATTTTTTTTTTCTTGATGGCTGAATAATATTCTCTTGTGTGTGTATCACATCTTCTTTATCCATTCATCAGTAATTGGACATTTGGGCTCTTTCCATAGTTTGGCTATTGTCGATAATGTGAGCAATAGAATCTTATACACACCCTTCAGGAGTGTATACATCTACAACCACTTTGGAGAGCACTGTGTTATGATCTGGTAGCGCTGACAATGTTTTTGTGACCCAATAATTCTACTCCCTAGAGTGCACAAGTACAAGAATGTCGATGGCAGCATTGTTTGTAACAGCGAACAATTGGAAACACCTATTTATCAAAGGAGGAGATGAATAAAAAATTGTGGTGCATTCATTACTGTTATACGCTGAATTGTGTCCCCCCACCTCCAGATTACTGTTTTGAAGACCTAACCCCTTAGCACCTCGGAATGTGACTCTATTTGGAGACAGGCCTTCTACAGGGGTGATAAAGGTAAAATGAAGTCCTATGGGTGGGCCCTAATCCATTATGGCTGTTGTCCTTATAAGAAGAGATTAGGACGCAGACAACTTACTGACCAAGGGTTGAGGACAAAACAAGAAGGCAAGCCACGTACAACAAGCCAAGGAGAGGTATCAGAAGAAACCAAATTTGCCAACCCCTTGATCTTATACTTCTAGCACACAGAACTGTGAGAAAACAGATTTCTATTGTTTAAGTCACCCAGTCTGTGGTATTTTGTGATGGTAGCCCTAGAAAATCACAATTACTGGGGCGCCTGGGTGGCTCAGTTGTTAAGTGTCTGCCTTCGGCTCAGATCATGATCCCAGAGTCCTGGGATCAAGCCCTGCATCGAGCCCTGCATCGAGCCCTGCATCGAGCCCTGCATCGAGCCCTGCATTGAGCCCCGCATCGGGCTCCCTGCTCTGCGGGAAGCCTGCTTCTCCCTCTCCCGCTCCCCCTGCTTGTATGCCCTCTCTAGCTGTGTCTCTCTCTGTCAAATAAATTAATAAAATATAAAAAAATCACAATTACTATATAACAATTAATTACACAATTCAATATATTACTATACAACATTACTAAATAATACTGAAAATCAACTATACATGATTTAACATTGTGAAACTTCACAGTGATCAGCAAAAATGCAAGTTGTAGTAGAATACATACAGTTTGATGCCATTTATAAACATTTTAAAAGCATAAAATATTTTTAAGGAATATATACATATATAAATCCTAAAAGTCTAAAGAAGTGCATGGCAGGGGTAAATACCAAATTCAGAATAGTTCCTTTTGGAGATGAAGGAGGGAGATGCCTTAGGAGAATGGACTATAGGAAACTTTTTTGTAAAAGGTAAGGTATTGTTCTTTAGGAAGAGTGGTGGGGAAAAGGAGATAATATTCTTCTTTATACCTTGTTGTATGTGTGAAGTAGTTCATTATAATTTTTTAAGAAAGACTATAGATCAACAACATTGACTTCTAGTTCCCTTAGAACTCCGACGGGCTCTAGAAAAATCATTTGGTTTAGCCATTTTATTTACAGACTGTGAAACTGAAGAACTGTGTAACTTTCTGGTTTCTAGAAATAACTAGACTAAACCTACATTTCCTGTTCCTTTATTAAATAAACGGTTTTTGAGTAGAGTTCTTAGAGAAGGAAGTGGTGATCACTGAGTCAGTTATGAGCTTGTTAAGCTAATTTCATTTTCTTTTTGGTAAGTTTACTTGATGAGGAGAAGAAATGCTCTAGTTATGGTTTATTTTCATTAGAGCAAGTCATTTGATGAAATTTTATGAACTCCTTAGGAAAGGATAGCGAAATGTTGCCAGATACTGACCACTATTAGGTAGGATCATTAGTGGTTTAAGAATATTTGAAGATGAATGATTAATCATGAATCAGTGTCAACCATGAGGGGAAAAGCTCTATTCTTAACCATGTCCTATTCAGCATATTTATCAAGACTTTTGATAAGACAAATTAAATATGTTGATCAAAATTTTGCAAAATGCAAAAGTGAAAGAGCTAATCTCTCTCAACCTTCCAGGCAAGGTTAACCACACTTACCACATTCTCTTTACCTGGACTGTCTGACTCCTCCACTAGGCAGATTCCAGGCATTACTTGCTTTGGAATCTTCTAGGTTGGTGCTTGGCACAGAGTAGGTGTTCAACAAATGTTTGTTGATCTTAAACAAAATGAGTTGCTGGACAGGATCATAATTCCAAGAGTCCTGGAGACAGGAGGAAGAGATCTAAACTAACTGGATATTATTTAAAAGATACAAATTACTGTTTGGGAATTAAAAAAAAACACTAAAATTAATTGCACAAAAAAGAGGAGAAACAGTTGAAGAGTGGTTCATCTAAAAAAGCCCCTCCCCTTTATTTTTTGAGAGAGGTGGTTGCTGACTTCAAGCTCTTTCAGAACAACTGTGAAAAAGGAATTAATTCTTCAGCTCATTTACAGAAATCTGGATCTCCCGGCTATGCGGAAGGTTATGCCAGAAATAGAGCAAGGTGCAATGTGTAAATTAAGGGAGGTCATTGCCCCATTTTATTTAACATGAGTCTGTACCCAGTCCTGGGAACCACATCTTAAACAGGACAAACAAGTACTTGTTCAGAACATGGTGACCAGGGTGGCTTGAAGCCATGTCAAATAAGAAATAGTTGAAGGCTGTGAGGGGATTTTTAGCTTGTAGAAAAACAAGGGACAGGGTTAGGGATGGAACATGGGAACTGTCTTCAAATGACTTAATAGTATTCATGTTATAAAGAATGACTCCTTACTCTGTTCTACCAAGTGTATAACTGAAACCAATGGAAATTGCAAAGTAACATACTTCAGCTCAGAAAATCCTCTAACATTTAGAATCATCCTGAAATAAATGAGATGAGGTATTTGGGAGGGATAATACCATTTGGCATTGGCAGAGGTGGAAGTCGGCCAACCTGAGAGGTTGCACGTGCTTTTATCAGGTTGTATGATCCAAAGAAGCTCCCCCTCCCGGTTCTTTGCACCTCTTTCAGCATTTATCACGTATCTTGAGTTATTCGTGTATATTCTAATCCTATCTCCCCCAATTAGCGACAACACTAACATGCTGTTTGCCCTCTCCAGCCACCACCTCTGGGGAGTAAGAGTGAGTAAATTAACTTTGAGTAACAGTGGGAATGGCGTTTTTTGGAACAGCGAAAGGCTGCCTCTGACTATGCTATTAGGTTTCTCCCCTCCTCGATTTTTGATCTCCTAGGACACGTCTGTGAATACCATCAGACTGAGTTCCTAAAACGATTTCTCTAGAACCTCAAAATTCAGTCATCCAGGACCTGCGACTCTCTCTCTGGACTGGGCTCTAGTCTATGGTAGGGAGAGCTCAGCCTTTCTACCTCTCTAGTCCTCCAGTGGGGCCTCTATGGTTTCCGGAGGCCTCACCGGAAGCTCTGGTACGAGACGGGTTCAGGAGGCCGGAAGTTGCGCCCTCACTACTCGCCGTTTCAAAATGCTGCTGAGGCCTTAGGGCCTGTGACTGACGCCCCCTCCCCCCCCCGGGCTCGCCGGGGGAGCGACTCATGGAGCGGCCTTAAGGTGTGGCTCTTGGGTTTCGGCGGCCGGGTCCCCGGCGGCTGGGGACAGGAGGTGGAGAGTGGGGAGCGGGCGGTGGTGTGGCCAGTTCGGCGGGCCTCGGATCTGGGGCAGCGGGCGGGTGGAGCTTGAGGCACGGGTGGCGGCGTTGGGATGGTCGCGCCGGGCGGAAGAAGGGCTGGTGGGGGAAGGGTGATGAGCTGAGGCCGCGCGGAAGGCAAAAATGGAGGTGGAGTGACGTGCTTGCAGCCGTTCGGCCATCAGGTTACACCTGGAGTAGAAATGGTCGGTGGGCGATGTTTAACTGGACGCAACATTGGAAACCTGCTGAGGCCCTTTGGAGGATAGAGGTGGCCAGAGAGGGAGGGGGGAAGAATGACATCGATGTGTCTCAAGATTTGAAGGTAGTCACTTTCAGGGCTGCGCACCATCTGTGTCAGAGACAACTTGAGTGCTTGTTTGAAGAGGGCTCATTTCGGGGCCACACCCAGACCCGCCCAAGCCGAACATCCGGAGATGGGCCTCGGGAATTTGTATTTTAAACAGCGCACTTTCCCGCTGATTCTTGTGCTTCCCGGATTTTGAAAACCGCTCTTACAAAGCGACACCCGTAGAACATGCTGTTGCTTTTTCCCTGTCATCAGGAAAGCTCTGTGTTAGTGAGGAAGCTCTTCCACCCTGAACAAGTATCTGTCCCAAAGGTACTTGGTACTTTTTGTGTTAGGTATTCCTACATCTCAGTTTAGGTCAGTTTAGGTTTTGTCTCCTCCCTCCTCATACCTTCCTGACACGAAAAGATAACTTATTTTTAAAGTATTTATTTCACAATATTTTGTTTCACACAGTACTGGTCGGGATCACAAATTTTTGTAGTTTATATTAAAAAAAAAAGCCAGACGTGTGTCTGAAGTTAAAAAAAATGCGCATAATACAGAAGTGTGTAAAGTTTAACTGTTCATTAACTCCTCAGGCTAGCTACTGTTAACTGCTTGATAACATCTTTCCTTTTTCCTACAGTACTCACATTTTTAAACAACAGTGAGATGATTTTGTATGCATTGTTATGCACCTTAAGTTTTTCAGGTAATATCAGGGACAGCTTTCCATCAAATATACATATACTTTCTTTTAAACACTTGCATAGTATTGGTTTAGAGGGTTATACAACAGTTTCGTTCGCCAGTTCCCCACTGATGGAGTTTTAGGTTGTTCCTGGCATGTTGGTTTGCAAACTGTGCTGGAACATACTCTTGCTACACACTTTGCCTGTGTAGGTGTGTAACAGATTTGGTAAGAACTAAACATCTGAATGGTACAGTAGTTTTCTTTTTTTTTAAGTTTTTATTATTTTCAAGTATGTAGTTGAAAGAATCAGACCGTGTTTAGTAGAGGTCCTTAGGGCTTTAAAGAATTACGAATTAGTTCTAAATTTTGACAAGAAGTTTTTAATTAGTCTTAAAATCACAGTTGTCTTCAAAGGTAGAGATTTGAAGATGAGGTGTAGGAGTCTCTTGGACTAAGTGTAGGGTAAAAACCAGTCTTTCATCATCACTGAGAGATGAATAAACTGCTTTCTGATTTCAGACCAGTAGAGGACACAAATAAAAAATATAATGTAGCAAGTGGTAATAGGGGGGCTCTGCTGTCATCAGCTTCCCTTGGGGTGTCAAAAGTCACCAAGGAAGTGACTTTTGGCCTAGGTAAAAGAATAAGACTTTTCAATAGAAAGTAGATCACAGAAGAGGAAGAAGGACAGATGCCTGATACTATGTGAAATCCAAAGGCAGTGGATTTCAAACTTTTTAAACCATGACCCCCAGTAAGAAATGTTTTATATTGTGACCCAGTATGCATAGGAGGGGGAATGGTTAAGAACTCTGGCTCTGCGGCCAGAGTGGTTGGACTCTAAGACCATACTTTCCAGCAAGTTATCTTCTTCTCTGCCTCAGTCTCCCCTTTGAAAATGAGGACAATAATACATCTACCTAATAGGATCTCTGTAAGGATTGAATGAGTTATTGAAAAAAAAAGTTATTGCTTTAAAGAGTGCCTGATACAAAGGTGCTTAACTTGTTGTGTTGGCTATTCAATAACAGAAACAGGTTCCACCAAACAAAACTTACCTTTGTTACTTACTTTTATTTTCTGTTCTGTTCTATATCATTAATGGAGGGGAGCAGTTAATACTCACGGGGGTACAACTTGTAGTTTGAAAAACTCAGTACTAAAAACACCTGGGAGGTAAGTGATAAAAGGACTGGACACATTGAAGAAACTGAGTTCATCATTCGTCATGGTGGGGATTGAGTGGTTCAAGTGGAAACTTGAAGAGTACCAAGCAGGAATGGAGACAGTAAGTTGGAAACCAATCGAATAAACTTGCACACATACCCAGTGAGGGGGGTGAGAGTGGAAAGGGAAGTGCCTCCTGAGTCACCTCTACAGGCTCATGTGTGATAGTCCTTCACTCTTCAAATGCACTGAAAAACCAGGGTAGTTTGGCCTGCTCTGGGATATCCCTAATTCTGCTGTATTGTGGAATGAAGAGGTGGAATTGGCTTTCTTTTCTTTTCTTTTTTTTAAGATTTTATTTATTTGAGAGAGAGAGAGCAAGAGGGAAGGGCAGAGGGAGAGGGAGAAGCTGACTCCCCACTGAGCAGGTGGCCAGACATGGGTCTTGATGCCAGGACCCTGAGATCATGACCTGAGCCGAAGGCAGATGCTTAACCGACTGAGCCACCCAGGTGTCCCATGGCTTCTCTGTCAATAAACACATCTCTTAAAGAAGAGTCCTTTTGGGTTATTTTATTTATTATTTTTTTAAGTTGAAATACAATTAACACACGATGTCACATTTATTTTAGGTGTACACGTAGCGATTTGACAGCTCTATACGTTATGTTGTGCTTACCACAAGTGCAGCTACTATCTGTCACCACACAACGCTAGTACAATGCCATTGACTGTATTCCCTGTATTATACCTTTTATCCTTGTGACTTACTCATTCCCTAACTGGAAACTTGTATCTCCCACTCCCCTTCACCCATTTTGCCTGTCCCTCCACCTCTTCCCTTCTGGCAACCATCAGTTTGTTCCAGGGAGAGGTTTTTGGTTTTTGTTTTTTTTTTAATGAATTTCTTTTTTTGTAAATAAACTCTTTTTTTTTTTTTTAAGATTTTTGTTTATTTGACCCAGAGAAAGACACACCAAGAGGGAACACAAGCAGGGGGAGAGGGAGAGGGAGAAACAGGCCTCCTGCGGAGCGGGGAGCCCGAAGTGGGACTCGATCCCAGGACCCTGGGATCATGACCTGAGCCAAAGGCAGATGCCCAACCAACTGAGCCACCCAGCCATCCCAAAGGGAGAGTTTTTTTTGAAAGCAAGAAAACTGCAGAAAGAACTTTCTTCCCTCATTCATTTAAAAGTAGACAAGTTCTTTTCAGCTTTTTAAAAGATTTTTTAAATGTTTGAGAGTAGAGCGAGAGAGAACACGAGGGGGTGGGGGAGGAGGGGCAGAGAGAGAAGCAGACTCCCCATTGAGCAGGGAGCCAGATGCAGGGCTTGATCCCAGGACCCCTGCAGATCAGAGCCCAAGGCAGACACTTAACTGACTGAGCCACCCAGGTGCCCCTCTTTTCAGCTTTTTATACTTATCTCTAAGGTTTATTATTAGCTGGAAAGAAACATTTCCAGAGAGCCAAAGTAGTACCAGTTAATAATGTACATTCTTTTTCGTAACTGGAGTATTCTCTGAGTACTAGTTTTTCAAGATGCAATAGATAATTGGAATTTTTGTGATTTCTTTCTGTTTGGTGTGTACCACTCAATAAAGTCCGTTGTTTCAATTAAATATTTTTTCTACTTTTCTCAATTTTTTAATGAAATCTTTTAAGGCATATCACAAATGTATCATTTTACCTTTAAATATGTTAGGATGTATTTCTTATCAGGTCAGGATTTACAAAAATTATCAGTGTCTTTTTACTACAATGAACAGTTTCTTAATATTTACTACCTAGTACATAATTCAAAATTTTATGATTGTTTAGAGAAAAATGGCATTTACAGTTGGTTTCTTTGAATCAGGACTTGAATGAACAAGGTCCACATGCTGTACTGTTTATGTTTTTTTAAGCCTCCATCATGGTCTCCCCACTTAACCATATCTGCCCTGCTCCGGGCCCGCCCCCTTGCCCCGCCATCTGAGATCCTGTATAATTTCCTACATTCTGGGTTTGGCTAATTATTTTGCTTTTGTTATTATTTATTCCTTTGCCCTCCATTTTTCCTACAAGCAGGTAATTAGTAGTTGGATGTAGAAGCTTGGTTAGTTTTTTTTTTTTCAAGAATACTTCACAGGAGGTAGGAGGTTCTGGGTGCTTCCTGTTGCTTCACATCAGGAAGTACATGATGCAAATGACCATCTTTTAGAGAGTTTTGTCAGTGGTCAAGTGTTCTCAGCCTTCTCCATGTGTTTTAAAGTTCCCCTCCCCCAGCCTTTTACTTAAATGGCTTATTATCTATTAATGATTGTTGAGCTGATACTTAACGTGAGACTAGAAGGTCTAGGATGAGTCAGTCTTGGGCAGAACTCGCAGTGCTTCAAATGAAGGAACAACGTGTGCAAAGGCCCTGAAGCAGGAAGTAAATGCCCTGAGAAACTAAAAGATCAGTGTGGTGAGGTGCAACAGGAAAGACTGGCAAGACTGGGGCTAGATTCTGTGTTTATCTTTAGAGCAGTAGCAAGTTTTAGAGCAGGGCCTGGCACTGTAGGATTGGGTTTGTTTTTTGATTTTGTTTTTTTAATCCTTCTAGCTGTAGTGTGGAATTTGGTTTGAAGGGGGTTAGAGAGACCAGTTAAGAGTCTGTTTCAGTGATGCATGCAGGAAATAACACTTTTGGTTTGGGGAAGTAGTCATGAAGATGAAAAGGGGTGGTTTTGACATATTTAGAAGTTAAAATTGATCAAGTTTGATGATGTGGTAACAGGAAGAGAGAGAAGGTGACTGCTAACTTTCTGGTTTCATTTATGTATGTATGTGTGTATTGGGACACCTGGGTGGCTCAGGTCATGATCCCAGAGTCCTGGGATCGAGTCCCGCATTGGGCTTCTTGCTCAGTGGGAAGCCTGCTTCTCCCTCTGCCTGCCGCTTCCCCTGCTTGTGCACGTGCGTACTCTCTCTCTGACAAATAAATAAAATCTATGTATTTAGAGAGAGCGCATGCATGGGGTTGGGGGCGGAGGGGCAGAGGAAGAAAGAGAATCCCAAGCAGACTCCCTGCCCAGCAAGGAGCTTGACGTGGAGCTTGATCTCACAACCCTGAGATCATGATCTCAGCTGAAATTAAGAGTCAGACGCTTAACCGACTGAGCCATCCAGGTGCCCCCAACTTCCTGATTTGAGCAACGGAATGTAACTGCTCACTGGTAGCATAGTGGGAAAGAATAAGCTTTAGACTCAGGCAAGTTATTTGACTTCTTTTAGGCTCAGTTTCCTCTTTTAAGGAGCAAGTAACAATGCGTAACCCTGCTGTAATCAAAAGAGACTCCAAGTGGGGAAGAGCCAGATTTTGCTTTGGATTCAGAGCTTGTCAACTGACTTCATTTCTCACATATGTTCTTGAACAGTGCCTTTGCTCTCATGTTTTCCCTCCCACTCTTTCCACTGTTTTCTCATTTTATTTTTTTATTTTATTTTATTATTTATTTGACAGAGAGCGAGAGAGGGAACACAAGCAGGGGGAGTGGGAAAGGGAGAAGCAGGCTTCCCGCCAAGCAGGGAGCCCAATGCAGGGCTTGATCCCAGGACTCTGGGATCATGACCTGAGCCGAAGGCAGACACTTAACGACTGAGCCACCCAGCCGCCCCTATTTTCTCATTTTAAAATCCTTCCATTCATGGGCGCCTGGGTGGCTCAGTTGGTTGAGCGACTGCCTTCGGCTCAGGTCATGATCCTGGAGTCCTGGGATCGAGTCCCACATCGGGCTCCCTGCTCAGCGGGGAGTCTGCTTCTCCCTCTGACCCTCTTCCCTCTCGTGCTTTCTATCTCTCATTCTCTCTCTCTCTCTCAAATAAATAAATAAAATCTTAAAAAAAAAAAATAAAATCCTTCCATTCATGGGGAAGGGTCCTGCGATCGAACCCCGTGTCGGGCTCCCTGCTCAGCAGAGAGCCGACTACTCCCTCTCCCTCTGCCTGCCGCCCTGCCTACTTGTGCTCTTTCTCTGTCAAATAAATAAACACAATCTTTAAAAAAAAAAAAATCCTCCCACTCCTGTCTCCATTCCCTTAACTTCCATGGCCCTTAAAACAGTGTTTTGCTTTGTTTTGTTTTGTTTTTAATGGCAGGACACTGTCTACCAGGTATTGAAGCAAAGTAAGAAAACCTTACCTTTAAGTTCTTCAGACCTGGGGCACCTGGGTGGCTCAGTCGTTAAGCATCTGCCTTCGGCTCAGGTCCTGATCTCAGGGTCCTGGGATCGAGCCCCGCATCGGGATCCCTGCTCAGTGGGAAGCCTGCTTCCCCCTCTCCTACTCCTTCTGCTTGTGTTCCCTCTCTCGCTCTCTGTCAAGTAAATAAAATCTTTTTTAAGAATTTAAATGCAGGCTCCATGCCCAATGTGGGGCTTGAACTCATGATGATGAGATCAAGAGTTGCATGTTCCACCGACTGAATCAGACCCCCCTCCTTTTCATTTTTACCTAAGATTCCTATTATTTAGGGGTGCTGGCTGGCTCAGCTGGTGGAGCGTGCAACTTCTGATCTCGGGGTTGTGAGTCCGAGCCCCACACTGGGTGTAGAGATTACTTAAAGATAAAATCTGTGGGGCGCCTGGGTGGCTCAGTCAGTTACGTAGCTGCCTTCGGCTCAGGTCGTGATCCCAGGGTCCTGGGATCGAGCCCTGCTTTGGGCTCCCTGGCCCACGGAGAGCCTGCTTCTCCCTCTCCCTGCCGCTCTGCCTATCTGTGCTCTATGTCTCTGTCAAATAAATAAATAAAATCTTTAAAAAAAAATTAAATAAAGGGACGCCTGGGTGGCTCAGTTGATTAAGCATCTGCCTACAGCTCAGGTCATGATCTCAGCGTCCTGGGATCGAGTCCCGCATCAGGCTCCTTGCTCAGCGGGGAGCCTGCTTCTCCCTCTGTCTGCCGCTCCCCCTGCTTGTGTGTGTTGTCTTTATCTCTGATAAATAAAAAATCTTGAAAAAAAAATAAAATATTTTAAAAAATAAAATTGAAATTTAACAAAAAGATTCCTATTATTTAGATGTGAGTACCTCTACATCTATTTTCCTTACCTTTTGGTTTTTCCTTTAGATTTTCTTTTTATCTTTTTTTTTTATTCTGGG